TCTGCCCCCTCACCCCCTTGCTCCCATCTTTTGGGCACGGATTTTGCTGCAAAATTGACTGCTTTTGGCCCGCCTGACTGGGAAAAGGCTACACAAATACATCGTGAAAAATAGTTCTGTCGACGCTAGGCATAAAATGCACATTAACAGGAAGTTCAGAGCCTCACAAGAAGGCTCAACATACAGTCTGATACGGAACCCTGATGATATATCTTAATTAACTGTTTTCTGTTTATTTCATTTCCCAACACCCAAGTTAGATGATTCCTCGGTAAAAAACTGTTTTATCGTTCGCTAAACTATTGAATTCGTATGACAAATCACAGTTTCAATATGCAAGTGCCTATTCCTAATCAATTTACCAATTAATGAACTATCAAATAAGATCTGTTACAACCTATATTCTAAGTATTATAAAAATGGGAAATCTCGGTGAATTTTCGAAGAACGCTTCCAGTCTTCGGACACCTCCGTAAAGGATGCCTTCATTGGACCCCAACGTTTTGCTTCTATCGGATATTTGTTTAATGCGGTCGGTGTTAGGCACCAGAATGATAAAAATTTTCTCTGTTTTCAGGTGGATTACCAAAGTACAAACTTCCAAGAGGCCGACCGTAAATTTTGGGCGTATCTTGTGAAAATTTATATTTTGAATCCGCAAAGTTTCCATTCATCAGCATCGTATCTGTCTGTTTATTAATGCTGCATATGAATTACCCTAAATGTTTTACACAGTAAGTATATAGCATGCTGATAAAGCACCCTAAAAGCAATTGCAAGTAAAAGTTGGCTTCACAGTCATTCGGTGGTTGTTTAAGTTTTTAAAAAACGAAATAGGCCTCTTTTCAAGTATGACCGTTGCTGCAGAAATTACAGGGCGAATAAGGCAGCTTGCACTCGCAAGTTCCCTCATGTACATGCGAGAGAATAGTGAGTTGTTTCTTATACTTACTTGCAATAACAATTCTTAATGAGACGAAACCAAGAGGAATCCAGTCGGCCTGCGCCAACGGGTGCTTGCAACAGCCGAAGTGGTGGCTATACGGCTAGCGAATCCAGTGCTGTGTTGCCAGAAGACGCTGACACAAGGCCCCCGTCAGGAGTCCTGGTAGGGGGTGCTCGTAGATCAGTTGGCTAGAGCGTTGGCTATACTAAATAGAGGCTATAGCAAACAACCGTGAAACAGCCAACTACGCTTGACCTGTTGCACCCTTAGCAGCCTAACTATGTATCGGATGAATTATCCAAATCTGCTAACCACCCTCCCCCCTTACTAATTATAAAAATATGTCAGAAGCAAATTAGATTGGCACGTGTGTTGAGCAATGCCCCTGCTTTCCACAGTCGGCCAATGCTTACCAGTTTCACCTTGCTCAGGGGTATTTTGGGAACCCAATGAAAGGTACCCGTGCTATCAACGTGCTTTCGAACGAAGGGCCGATGGGGCATGGGAAGGGGGTCAGCGAGCGGGGAGGAGCCGACAAGTAGAGGAGACGTGAGTGAGACGGTTTTGGGCTCGTAGCCAGTGTGTACTGCCGGTC